CTGCCAAGGGTTAGGAAGATGCGGTATGATGCCCAACAGCAAAAGAGGCCTTTCTCTTTCTCTTCCTCCCTCTCTCCCTTCATGTAGTACCAAAAGATGCCTTCCTGCCTTCCTTCCTTCCTTCCTTCCTTCCTACCTACCTACCTACCTACAGTAGCGAAAGAGGCCTTCCTTCCTTTCCTTCCTCCATTTCCTCCATCCCTTCCTTCATTTCCTTCCTCCCTTCCTCACTCTATTTCCTCCCTCTCTCCTATTCTCACTTTTCTTTCCTTCCTTCCACTCTATTTCCTTCTTTTTCCTTCCTTCCTCCATTTCCTCCCTCCCTCCCTTCATTTCCTTCCTTCACTCCCTGTCTCCATTTCCTTCCTTCCCTTCCCTCTCCATTTCTTCCCTTCCTTCCTATTTTCACTTTTCTTTCCTTCCTTCCTTCCTGACTACAGTAGCAAAAGAGGCCTTCCTTCCTTCCCTTTTGAAAATGAGGACAAAGGCAAAGTAGCTCATGCAGAAAAGCCAATTTTGGTACTCTAAACAGATGGTTTTTTTGCAGGAAGAAAAGGTGGATCAGAGCTCAACTTGGAATTCGTTGCGAAAGGCTAAGTCCTAACCAGTATCCCATCTGCTGTGATTTGGTAGCAAAGGCCTAATGATGAGGGTGTCCATCTTTGCAGCCCCCCCCTAAAAAAAAGATCTGTATCTTGTTAGCAAAACTCCCCCCCCCGTCTATTGCAAAGCAATTTCTGGAAACGGAGAATATTACTGTCAAAAGATGGAGGTGAGATCTTTGCTAACAAGATTACTCCTACGCTAACCTTGTACGTGGTCATCAAGAGCTTGGCCCTAATCTGGGCATAATCTGGTCCAGGCTTCCTTTAAAGTCATTTTTAGAATGTAATGAGGTTTTCTTTCTTAGATCTACATCTGGATAGCTTTTTGGTATAGTTGGACATGAAAACTGCACGTCTTTAAACCTTTTAAAGCAGGGCTGTCCAACCTTGGCTCCTTGAAGCCTGGCGGACTTCAATTCCCAGAATTCCCCAGCCAGCTTTCTGGGAATTGAAGTCCGCCAGGCTTCAAGGGGCCAAGGTTGGACAGCCCTGTTTTAAAGCAAGTTTCGGAAGACGGCCAGGCAGAGCCCAGATCGGTTCTGAGTGCCACCTTTTTGGGAAAAGGTTTTGACATTATTGTTTTGTGTTTGCGCTCAAGTCTTCTGCTCCTTTCCTTTTCAAAAGCAGTATTTTTCAAACTTGGTTACGTTCAGGTGGGTGGGCTTCCAACTCCCAAGCCTTGAAATCCATCCATCTGAACAGGGCCAAGCTTGAAAAATAATGCTTTAATAATGCTTTTCCAGATTCTGGAAAGCTAGTTTTGAATGGCTGTTGAATTCTTAAATCCGTGGTCGGTGGTTTCATAGTGCAAAAATCCAACTGCCTGAGGAGCTAATCGTGAAGATTAAAATGGGGTGTTTGTTGGTTTTTTTTAACTAAATGTCAGATGTCTTTCCAGCGTTTGCTGTGGCAACCAACAAGCTTCGAGACTGCCCTGTTTTTTGTTTTTTGTTTTTTTGTTTTGTTTTTTTGCAAAAGGAGGAAGGAGGCACCATCTCTTGATTGGGTGGGCAAGGAATTTTTTAAAAAGGGAAATTAAGTCTCGGCATTTGCGAGGCACCAGAAAAGCTGGGTTGGATTTTGTCAGGCTGGTTTTTAACCCTGAATCCCGATTCCATTGGTTCAGTTTGCACATTTGACTTGCTTTTAGCCACAGTTCTGTAGTAAAATGCAGGCCGGATGCATACACTCTTCTGTGTCTAAGGCCGATTGCCTGTTGTGCAAATGTGTCGGTAGACATAACGCCCAGCAGTTGGTGAAGGGAAGAGTTATAGAAAACTGCTAATCCTTAGCAAAAGCACCGGGTTTTGCTGAGAATCGGAACAGAGCGAGGTGTGGCAGTAGGACCAGGGCTTTGTGTTGTTGTGTTGTGTTGTGGCAGGCAGATGAAATGCAGCTCAAGTCTGCACCCTTTGGAGACAGCCAGTGTTGTTTTAGGAAGAGCAGGGGAATCTACTTCCTACTTTAATTCGAGAGGCAATGATGTATACATTTCATTTCATTTTGAAAGCTTTTCCATTCAGGGTGCTTGGGGGCAAAATGTTTTGTGGTGTTGTTTTTTTTGGGATGTGTCATTCAGGAAGCCAGGGAAGATGATCCTTCATTCCTATTTTCTTCTACCGGCCGTAATTCTTCTCTTACAATTTTCCCTCCCTCCCTCCCTCTTTCTCCTTCCTTCTTTTCTTCTACCTAGTTCTCTTCCTATCCTTCCTCCCTCCCTTCCTTTCTTCCTTCTTCTGTCTTTCCTCCCTCCCTCCCTTTTTTCTTCCTTCCTTTCTTCTACCTAGTTCTCTTCCTACCCTTCTTCTGTCTTTTCTTTCCCCTCTTCCTTCTTTCTCTTCCTTTCTTCTGTCTAGTTTCCTTCCTTCCTTCTTCCGTCTTTCTTCCTTCCCTCTTTCTTCTACCTAGTTTCCTTCCTTCCTCTCTCCCTCTCTTGCTCCCTCGTTCCCTCCCTCCCTTCTTCTATCTTTCCTCCCTCCTTCCCTCTTTCTTCTTCCTTCTACCTAATTTCCTTGCTTCCTTGCTTCCTTCCTTTTCCTTCCTTCCTTCCTTCCTTTCTCTCTCAACAAGAAAAGTCAGTCAGACCCAAATCTGTTTTTGCCCCCAAAACCTTTCCCCACCCCCCACCCCCTAAGCTTCTTCAACTGCTTCTCTGGCCCGGAATGAGCATTTTTCCCTTTGACGGATGGGAATCTGGCGAGCGTGTTGGGACGGGCCAACCTCTGGGGGGGGGGGGAATTCTTCTCCTCTAAGCTTTGAAACATTTTCCCAGCCCCCCCCCCTGTTTTTTAAACTTTTGGCACTTTGACTAGCAGTACACCAGGAAGGTTTTGTGTGTGTCCCCCCCCTTTCCTTTTTTCCTTTCAATTTAAAAAAAAAAGTCTGCAGTTGCTGAGAGTTTTAGGAAAGCAGCGAGACGGGATTTAAACAGGATAAGCCGTGGTGGGATCTTCAGAAGGACAGGATCAGGGTGTACCAACGTCTTGTATTTCATGGCAAGCTGTTTATAAATAAGTGTTGACATTTTGGATCGACTGCAAAATCAGTGGCAAGAGGTCCCTGGGCTTGTGGGGAGCTGTCCTAACCCCCTGCTTGCATGGTCAGAAGCCTCTCGCCTGGAGCGAGTGGGAATTTCTTCCAAGTGGCCAAAGAGAACAGGATGTGAATGTAAATAGATGGGAGTCGAAAGAAGAAGAAGAAAAAAAACCAGCCTGAACTTCTGCAAAATACATTTATGACGGCACGAGCTTTCGAAATTTGCAGTTTAATATCCTGAGTCAGACCCTAGATTTATTATTATTACTGCATAGTTTATTCTGACCTGTGCTACCTTTTCGAGGAAGGTTTGTTTATTAATTGGGTTGTTTAATAGCCTGCATACCGCTCTTGTGCACTCAAATGTCATTTTTCCTTGCCAGCGTATAATTGGGGAGGTGATTCTTGGCTTTCCAGGTACAATTTGGTGATCGACTCCTCTTGAGTGTGGAGGTTTTCCTTCCTGTTGATGTACGAAAGGCGTTTTAATGAGGTTTTTGGCCCAGAGGGATCCTAAGTAACGTAACTCTGCATATTCTATTTGTTTGTATTTACTGAGAATTTTACATAAAGCAAAAGACAAATCTAAAGCAGGAAAAAAAAAGAAAAGAAATTGCAAGGAAACTAAGATAGACGAGAAAGAAACATAACTATAATGTCTTCTGAACTTCAACAGATAATTACAATCCTATAAGCCCAAATCCCTCTTAGAGGTTACAGTAATCCCTTCAACGCCTGTCTTAGTCCATATTTTTTTTTTTCAACCCTGAAACCCGTAAATCATCACCTCATTTATTTATTTTTTGGTCTCATCAGAAAATTCATAGAAGGTTCCTGGTTTTTGAAAAAAAAAGTTGTTGATGACCATTCATATATCACAGCACTCTAAGTCTCCGTGGATGAATTTGTACATTGATTGCTAATGTTTCTCTGCTACTTTGCTGTCAATGCATCAGTTTAAGATAATGATGAAGGAAGGAAGGAAGGAAGGAAAAGGAAAGGGAAGGAAAGAAGGGAAGGGAGGAAAAGAAAGAAAGGAAAGGGTAGGAAAGGAAGGAAAAGAAAGGGAAGGAGGGAAGGAAGGGAGGGAAGGGAGGAAAAGAAAGAAAGGAAAGGGGAGGAAAGGAAGGAAGTAAAAGAAAGGAAAGGAAGAAAGGGAAGGAAGTAAAAGAAAGGAAGGAAGGAAGCGAAAGAAAGGAAAGGGGAGGAAAGGAAGGAAGTAAAATAAAGAAAAAAAGGGAAGGAAGTAAAAGGAAGGAGGGAAGGAAGGAAGTAAAAGAAAGGAAGGGAAGGAAGGAAGCTCCATGTAGGAAGAACATAACTTTATCTTTGTTGATGGAGGGCCCTATAAACATTAAAACCTGGTTTAATCCCCTTGGGCAGAAGAACTAGGGAATGACATGATGGCAGTCTTCCAGTATTTGAGGGGCTGCCCCAAAGAAGAGGGGTAGTCAAGTTATTCTCCAAAGCAACTGAAGGGAGGACAAGAAGCAACGGAGGGAAACTAATCAAGGAGAGAAGCAACTTAGAACTACGGAGACATTTCCTGACAGTGAGAACAATTAACCAGTGGAACAACTTCCTCCAGACTTTGCAAATGCTCCAACACTGGAATTTCTTGAGAAGAGATTAGATAGCCCTTTGTCTGAAGTGGTGTAGGGTTTCCTGCCTAGGCAGGGGTTGGACTAGAAGACCTCCAAGGTCCCTCCCAAGTCTTGTTATTCTGTGATCCCCTTTTCTCAGCCCTGGGGAGGGGCGGCCAGGCAGTCCCACGCTGCTGTTGCTGCCTTCAGAAAGGGTGTGGCAGCCGTGAGCCACGGAGGGTGTGGTGTGGGTGGGGACCCAGGTGCCCTGACGGAAGGAAGGCGGCACCTTCACTGAGCACAAAGGAGACAGGGACCCAGGGAGTGGGGAGCAGACGGACCATGAGCCGAGGGAGGTTTGGACGGATCAAGAACACCTGGAGGGCGCTGGAGGAAGCTGGCTTCGAGATCCAGGTTTGCTCAGATACGGAAAGGGCTGTGTGTGTGTGTGTGTTTGTGTGTGTGTGTGTGTGTTTGTGTGTGTGTAACCATAATCCAGAGCACCTGGTTGGAAGGGGGTGAGGGGCCTCGAGGATCCCAGTAGCGCTTCAAGAGAGCCAGAAAGGATCCTCAAATGTTATTTATTCATTTCAAGGAAGGCAAATTCTCTTTAGACCAAGTACTTCCTGAAGAGGTTTGCAAGTTTGCTCCCTTCCTTGTATATGGTAAGCTCCTATATGTGTGCTCTTTTTTTGAATGGCAAACTTCCACAAGCTTGTCTGAATCGGCATTGCGGGTTTCTTCTGAATGCTGTCCTTATTGCCTCTCTTCAAAAGGATCAGGGCTTGCAGGCAGAAGCCAAGATCTGCAATGAGTTTGCCCTCCTCCTTCTTCTTCTTCTTCTTCTTCTTCTTCTTCTTCTTCTTCTTCTTCTTCTTCTTCTTCTTCTTCTTCTTCTTCTTCTTCTTCTTCTTCTTCCTCCTCCTCCTCCTCTTCCTCTTCCTCTTCCTCTTCCTCTTCCTCTTCCTCTTCCTCCTCCTCCTCCTCCTCCTCCTCCTCCTCTTCTTCTTCCTCCTCTTCCTCCTCCTCCTCCTTATTATTATTATTATTATTATACACAAAAACGACAGTGTACACAGCAAACAAGATGACTATGCTTCGTATCACAAATCACTAGTTTCGTATCACAAATCACTAGTCGAACCCTTCCCAAGTGTTTAGGACTGTGATGTATCGACAGATTATGCGAGTAGATCCCAGTCTGCCTTCTACAGCTGACCAATAGTGATCTTGTCGGCACCAATTGTTTTGAAGTGCTTGCCTAGGTCTTTAGGCACAGCAGCACCCAGTGTGCCCAGTACCACTGGAACCACCTGCACTGGTTTATGCCAGAATCTCTGCAGTTCGATTCTCAAGTCCTGATGGTGATGATGATGATGATGATTATAAATTAGGAATAATTCCTGCCTTCTTGGTGTCTTCTTAAGATTCTGCTAGCGCAGGGCAAATTGTGACGAAAAGGAAGGCCTAATGGGACATTGAATTTGGAGACACACTAGCAAATTTAAGCCATTAAAAAAAATATTGCAGATTTTCAGATGTCTGTTTCTCTCCTATGGGCTCCAGGGTGGGGCAGTGAATGATGAGGAATGGCATTTTTCTGGGCCCCTTGAAAATCCTTGCATTCTTTTCCTGCCTTACGAGATTACCCACCTCTTAAAATAAAAATAAAAATCCGGTCACCACCTACTCAACCGCATACTTTTCCAAATGTACTTTCATTATTCATGAGGTCTAGCATCCCGAAGTTAAATCTCTCCACCCGGTTGTTAAGGCTCTGCTGTTTTGTATAATTGAGCAGAACCAGCCTGCTGCATTGTAAAATAATTTGAAAGGGCATCATAGGGAGAGGACTAGAAACTTTGGAAGTGAGGGGAACAGCAAAACAAGCAGACGATTTAGCGCTCACTTAGATATTCATGAGGTCTACTTTGCTTTTCTGATAGGGCCAAAAAAAACCGCTGCTACTTAATCCAGTATCTTAAGGAAAGTCCATGATCTTGAAGGAAGGAAATGGGAATGAAATACCTGGCTCAAGTTTGTGTGCGTTCAACCATGTTGTGGGAAACCTTTCGACTCCACTCCCAACCGCCTCTTCTCTGTGAAGTAGGCCTGTTCACTTACTTCAATTAAGCCAGCATAAATTTGCAGAGAATATTGGGGTGGGTGTGTTGCATTGGGGAACAAACCAGGATAAACAGGTTACAAGGAGAAAGGAATGCATGTCTGCGCAGAGAATCCAGACTCAAAAGTTATCTTCGTGTGGGCCGGATTTGTATCAGGAACGCTTTTGATAACCAATTGCGAGTTCCGGGTTGTGTGTTTTAAAACAACCTGCAAGCCTGCGATTTCAAGCAGGGGTGGGGCGGCGTTGACAGATTTCCCCCTTTTTATCTGGAGTTGTAGGTCTGTGTGTAGCATCTTGCAACATCCTTGGACTGGCTGAACAGGTTTAGGGGAGGACTCCTTCCAATTGGCTTAGGATATTTTTGTTTTTAAATACAGGAACTGGTTTTTATTTGGCTGGTTTCTTCTTCAAATAAACAAGCCCTGCTTTGGCTTCAGGTTTTCAGAGTTTTGTTTTGCTTTTTAAAACAGCAGCAAAAACAACCCAACAGCCCATCTCTGTAATTTTTTGTTTTGCTTTCCTTTGGTTTTGATTACTAATCCAGAGCTAGGAATATACCAGCAAAAGGCTATTCCTGCTCCAAGGTATTTGCAGGTTTATTTTAGGTCTGTAAAGCCAGCAGACAGGAGGAAACATTCAGAGCTTCAAAAATAAAATCTCCTTCACGATGAGTTGCGTTTTTTGGAAAAGGGGAGCAAATTTCAGATCTGGATATCCCTTGTGTTTAAGGAAAGAAGCCCATTTTTATTTATTTATTTGGGTTTTGTAGCTGCCCAGCTCAACGAGTGACTGATAAATTGCTGTGTTTGTTGTTTTCTGTTTTTCTGTGGATGTACGAAATAAAATAAAATTTTATTTAAAAAAAAACCCTGGTGCTCTATAAATTGCTTTTTAATGCAGTCATGGGTCTCTGAAAGCGCACGTTGCGAAGATATAGCACTGCACTTTTGTGTGTTTTTTGTAGATGTTAACTCAGTTCAGTTTCACTGTTGTTGTTGTCTTCGAAAGCTTCATTCATACATCAGTCCTGTTCAGGAGGACCACTTAACTGAAAGAGGCACTATATCACACACGGTCCCGGAGACACGTGTGTGTGTGTGTGTGTGTGTATGTATGTATGTATGCCTGTATGTGTACACTTACAGAGTCTCTTATTTAGCAACCATTCAGAGTTATGACAGTGATGAAAAAGTCCCTTCATAACCCAGCCTTCATTCATGCCCTTCGCAGGCCTTCAAAGCAACAAAAAGCTAAATTCAAGTTGTAAGCAAGGTGATAATTTCACTTAGCAACTCGTTTGTTTAATGACCATCTTGCCAGTCACAAATGTGCATGCAAAACGAGGACAACCTTGCTTGTGTTCGGCCAGATTTCTTAACTGGCCCCTTCCAATGCTATTAATTGCACCATGGAGTTAAATGGTTGGAAGTTGTGCCCTTTAAAGCCAACTCAAAATTACCTTTTCCTCCTCCTGTTCTCAGGCCAAGCCTATATACGGTGGATGGCTTTTACTAGCTCCAGAGGGCACGGATTTCGACAACCCTGTGCATCGCTCCCGGGTAAGGATCGCTCTTTCCTCCTCGCAGATTTTTAATGTTTTTAAATGTATTATCAAATGTATATGCCATCCATCTCGCTATCCTGATGGACCGGGGGAGGGGATCTGGTTTCTGCGGTGTTCAAATAATTGTGGGGATTTGATCTTGGCTTGTTGGATCCTTCGGTTCTCCAGGGTTTTAACCACATGACCTCTTTACTTGTCCCCCCCCCCTTTTTTTTATAGAAATGGCAACGTCGCTTCTTCATCCTTTACGAACATGGTCTTCTCCGCTACGCCTTGGACGAGATGGTGAGTCCACTTTTTTGGATTTTGGAATCGGGCAATTTCTTCTCATTGAATACTCACGGCGGGCTTGTGATGAGCGAGCGCTTCCAAGACCACAAGTAGTAGTCCATCAAAGTTTGAGCAATGTTCTTCGTACTTGGCAGCTTTAAGATGTGTGGACTTCGAACTCCAGAATTCCCCAGCCTTAATTTGCTTTTGCATGGTAATAGTTTGAGCTCAGAATTTTCCTCTGCTTGCTTGCTTCCATCATTGGTCAGGGGTTTGGAGAAGTTCCGGCAGATGAGTAATGAAACATCTGCAGTCGATGTCTAAAAATTAAACCAGAGATGCCAAACGAAGCGCATGACTCATTTATTCGTATCCAAGTCTGTTGAAGCAAGGTGTCTCGGTGTGGTTTCCCAAGGAGAAATAAAAAATGCCGTTGGGTTCCTGGGGAAGGGCATCCTTGGATTGGCAAAAGAGCTTGTCTTTGACGGGTTGTGGGGTACACTCCCCGCTTACCACTCTCGGTCTTCTTAATCGAGTGTTCCCAGGGGAGGGGGCTTCCAACCATGGAGTTGCCCATTGAGTAAAACTATCTGGAATCGAGTTCCCATGCTCAGGGGCCAGGTGTGTAGGCCTTGAGCAGGAGATTGTGTTTTGGCAGAGTCCCCAATGACGTTGGTTGTAGTGGTGGAGTTAATTTTCTGTGTAAGGATGAAGGAACGAACAGCTGGTAAGAAGCTGCTGTGGATTGCTAGCTGGAGGAGGAGAAAACAGCGTGCAATTTATCATGGTTGTCATTTCCAAAAGGCAGAGAGAGACTTCCTGGGAAAGATGTGGGAATCTGGAGTTTCTGGTTTTCACACCAGCCCTTGTGATTGTCTCCTTTCTTGCTCAGGCCAACAATTGGAAGGTCAGTTGCCACCTAGGCTTTCTCCATCCGTGAAGAGAAAGTAGTCATTCTTAAGAGGCTGGAAATCTCTGGTGTGATTTTTGCAGGAGGGGCAGGCGTTGGATGGTCTGCATCTTGACTATTTTTGACTGCTGAGTAACACCAGGCTTTGGTTTTCTTGTTCATCTCGTCCTTCACGGCGTGGTTTGCTTTATGGTGGATGTTTATGTTGCACAAATCTCAGTTTGGAATCGGTTAAGGATGGTAGTCTTCAAAATACGAGGAACAGGTAGGAGGGAGGTGCCTGCCCATTAAATAAGCAATTCCTACCAGTTATCCTTGTAATTTCTCATTCCATCTCTGATTTAAAAAAAAAAAAAACAATACCAAGATTTTCTTTTCCTCTTTAAATTGAGTAATGTGCTCTTTCCTAGCCTTTCAGACTCAGCTGATATAACCAGCAGAAATCTTAACTTTTTCAATCAGATTATTGCCCATTGTGTTAAATATATATTTATCTTACTCCTTCTGACATGTCTGCCAACATTTTACTGGTGAGTTGGCACTAGGCGAAAAAGGGGAGGAGCTTCTGGTTTGCTATTCCTGCAAAACGTAAGAAAGCGGATGTGATACTGATCTCCTTATCTACCTTATTCACCTGGGTGAGTTAGTTTAGTGTAAGTTTATTGGGGGCAGAGGTCACCTTGGTGGAATTAAAATAGCAAAGCACCAGAGCTGATTGGGAGCAGCCCCACCTAGGCTAGTTTGGGAAGGCGCGTTGGGAAAGATCTTCAAGAATGTGGAGATGTTCCTCAAGAAACCCATGACCGAAAAATTAATAAAAATGAGCATCGAAGCTCTACAGCATTCTCCACTGAGGAATATTATGGGCTGATGTAATCTTCATCTCACAATTTAATTAGTAGGAGAGACTTGGTTGCGTTGCTCTGTAGCTTTCATTGGTAGAGAAGCTACGTCAAACATTGCTCAACACATCTGGGCTGGGGACCATTTCACCGAAGGAGTTCAGTTTTAGGATACATTTCCTTCAAAAAAGTAAAGGAAAACATTATGTCTGGATATCGGGTCTGCACATGATCGCTCTTCAAGCTAGAATATAGAATATCTTAAAAATTAATACGATTTGAAAAGAGTATACACCCATAAGAGAGGCCAATTCAGGATATGCAGCTCTTTAAATTTCACCTTGTAGCTGATCGTTTTAAGCAACGATAATCTCCTTTTAAATGTGATAGATTCAGCTTCTGATGGTAGCCTGAGACATTAAAAATACGTTCATGCTTATTGTCTGTTCTACCGTTGTTTCTAACTTTACAAGAAGTGTTTACAAAAAAAAAATTAATTGCTGTTTGCTGTTTTCTTTTTACTGTACCTTCTCCGGCTTAGGATACATTAAGTATCTTTTTTTAAAAAACAACAACAACTATTTATTTAATATGGTTGGGCTGTGCTTTATATCTAAGCTGTTTACTTAAGCCTGGCGCCAAAAATGAGTGATTTGGCAGCAATTGTATCAGTGGCGTTTAACCCTTTTGGTGCATCCCTTCTCTTCTCCTCCAGGCTATCTTCTTCCTTTGTCGTTGGAGAATTCCCAAGAATTCCCAATATTTTTTATTGGAAGTTTTCTCTTTGAACATTTAAGTAGTGACTTAGCAAAAGAGTTATCACCAGTCAATGAACTTGGGAGAAAGTTAAACTCTCTTTATAGCTTCTGCTTTTCTCATACTTTCAGTCAAGCCTCAACTCTTTTTATGTCCCAGATCCTTTCGCCAGCTCTCCCAAGTCCACAGGATAGGTGGGAAAAAAGGAGGAAATAAAAAAAAAAAGTTGAAAGGATCTTGGTTGGGAGAACTTGGGTGGCAAGTAGGCCTGGGCAGAATTTGGATAGCAAATTCATTCTAGAGCCTTAAAGTTTGTCACACTTGTTTGTTTTGGGTTTCTTCTCTGAAAGTTATTTCTTTTTCTTCCTGCTTATCTCCACCCTGGTCTGAGGAAAGAGAACCTGGTGGTTCATCAACTTTGGGCTTGCTTGGTGAAGTCTTCGTGTAAAGTGCCAAGTTGCAGGGGTTTTGCATCCTTGGGGGCAAATCCCACCTTGAACTGGAGACTAATTCTGGTCTCCACTCTTGACTATCCCGCTAGAGCAAGGGTCTTTCAAACTTGGCAAGTTTAAGACTTGTGGACTTCAACTCCCAGACTTCCTGAGCTAAGATGACTGGAGGAGGAGGAACTCTGGGAATTGAAGCCCACAAGTCCTAAAGCTATCAAGTTTGAAGCGCCCTGTGCTAGAGACTTGAATATTTTTGCTCTTCACATCTGGTTTAGGTACCATTAGACCTTTCTCGGGTCATACTTGGACCTACACTGGTGGCTTGGGGATTATTGCAGGTGATGCTTAAAACACCTGGATTCCCAAATCCCAGCCCTTGGCCAAGACAATGGGTGGGGTATCCCAAGGCTCAGTACCCAAATTCCCTTCCAACTCTGTCATTCTGTCATTCTGTTATTCTAGCCCAAGGGGCAATTCTAGTGTCTACAACCTGGAATCAAATATCTTGAGAAGGGCGAAGACCCATCTAGCTTACTCATCTAATGATATTTTCCTTTTTTTTTTCCTGTGGGCAAAGCAAGGTGTGAGGTTTCTAGGCTAGAATGAGAGCAGAACACCTGCTTCGGATTTTTTTTCTTACTTTTGCCACTCGTGAGAGTTCTCCCAAGACACTCTGATCTCTGCCTGAAATCTTAAGGGCTAGAAACTTGTTTTCAAACCAGCTTGGGTGACGTATCGTGTCCCGGGACCCATATCTTCCAGTCAACCCTGCAGCCTTGGACACCAGACAAAGGAAGCTCTAGAGCAGGGTTTGTCCACCTCAGCAAATTTAAGAAGGGTGGACTTCAACTCCCAGAGTGTCCCAGGCAGCTCAAAGCAGAGCTGGACATCCAGGGATTTCCTCAGGTCCTGTCGCTTAGACCTTTGTTTACAAACTCCTTGCGTGAGACCAGCTAGACTAGGCTTCAGAAGTTCCTGCTTCTTCTATGTAGGCTGTTGTGTAGAAGGTAGAGGAGAACCCAGAAGAAAAAGGACTATCAGGGAATGACTGTTTATGCCCACTTTTTCTCCAGCCTGTGCCACAATGCTTTGTGTGCTCTCACTAAGGTGTGTGTAGCTTTCTGCTGTGTGTGTGTGTGTGTGTGTGGCTGCATCCATTGGGCTGTGATTAAGAAAGCTCTGGTGGTCTCAGGTCCTTCACTTGGTTCCTCTTGCTGATGCTAAATTGGTCTTCCACTGGCTCAGCTCTTGTTTATCTCTTTCTCGCTCAGTCCCCTTGCATTGCTCCAGTTCTCTAAAAAGCTTGGCAGCGGCATAATGAAACTGGATGTTACGTAGACAAATCTGTTTATAGACGTTGGTTTGATGGGTTGAGATGTTTGGAGAGAAGCATCACATACCTAGTAAACCCTTTGCTCTTACAGCTCTTCAAAGGACCTCGGAACAGTGCTAGGCCTGTTCTTCATCCATCAAGGCTATTAGTGTCTCTTCTTATTAATAGCACTTTTCTTGGCTCTGGAGCCTCCTTAATATTACATCATTCTGGGCTGATCTTCTTCTTTGAAGCAAAGTCAGGGAGCAGTGAACAGAACTTAGGTCAAAGGCAGGCCAACAAAGAAAGAAAACCCAACTTCTCTTCGCCTGTATAAAGAAAAGGGTCTTGAGGGGTTGACAAGCCCCAGGGAAGATCTTCTTGGATCCTCCAAAGCAGGGAGTCCCTTAAGGGTGGAGGAAGTCCTCTCTGGGGTGAATCCATCAACAGGTCCATCAACAGTAGCGTAAGCCAGAACTGGACCCACTGATCTCAAACTCATGGCTGTTGAAAACCTGGAGAGCTATTCTGAGTAAACACTGGTGTGTTGTTGTTGTTGTTGTTTTGTAAAACAACAAAAGCAATACCTGGAAGGAAGCTCAGAAGCAGAAAGTGGTTGAGATCAGAGGCAATGAAGCCAGAGTTAATTTATTTGTTTATGCATTAGAGCTGCAATCAAGCAATTAGTTACCTAGCAGGAGAGAAATCATCATCAAGTAATTCCCGGTGGTACAGGGAGATGATTG